ATCAACCAGAGGTCGCAAACGGGTTTTGATTCCTTACCCGTACCCTACCCGTACCCCGGCCGGGTACGGGTAGGGTACGGGTATCTGATTGCGACCTCTGGGATGAAGCCATGTTGCAGGCGCGGGTGGGTTGATTCTAGGAACTTGAATTGTGAGAAGAGACAAGACGTTGGGAAATGAGTGACAAACGGTTACTCACCAGTGACTCACGGCCTACGAGTACCCGGCCGCACCTGGGTCGCAAACGGGTACCCGTACCCGGCTGGGTAATACGGGTAGCCGGGTATCGAGTAGGGTACGGGTATCGGGTACCCGGTTGCGACCTCTGCCATCAACTGACTGAAAAATAAACTTGAAACCTGAAGCTCTTATAAGTGACAATTAACCTAACAAAAACACACCCACGCTCGCAATGTAACTTGGTATTGGGCCAAACACCCTCCTAATGCCGGAGAATAATCTGCAACCTACTTAATTTTGGACAACGTCGCCCCCTACTGCTAGACTCTCGTGTTAAAAAGTCTCGGCGGCTGGGTACGGGTACCCGTTCCCTACCCGTACCCTACCCGAAATGAGTGACAAACGGTTACTCACCAGTGACTCACGGCCTACCCGTACCCATACCCGGCCGCACCAGGGTCGCAAATGAGTACCCGTACCCGGCCGGGTACAGGTAGCCGTATCCTACCCGTACCCTACCCGAAATGAGTGACAAACGGTTACTCACCAGTGACTCACGGTCTACCCGTACCCGGCCGCACCAGGGTCACAAACGCTGGGTACGGGTAGCCGGGTATCGGGTACCCGGTTGCGACCTCTGCCACACCACACCCACGAATGCGTAGCCGCCAACGGCGTTGCCGACAGCCCACGGGCCACCTAACTCCAGGTCTGCGGGCGAGCTCGGGTAGAAGCGTGCGTCTCGACCGTTTAGGAGTTTATTTGGCTCATCATCATAGGCCTGTGTGTCTCGAGAAGCAATTCGTTTGCGCCTTACGAGGTCGAGGAGTGTCCTCTCCCCATGTTTGCACCTCTTGTTGGCGCAAAGCCCGGGTAAGGTTATTCTGGAAATCCTGGGTTGCCCATGCGTCAGGGATTCCCTCAATCGGCCTTGCTGGTGAGGTCCAAAGGAGTGCGTAGCACGACGTTTGGTACCAGTTTGGCTGCAGGGGCTGCTGGGAATGTGCTGCCTGAGGTGCCCCACTCCTGATTTTCTGGCGGGGTTTACTCCCTTAGCCATTGACTCCCCTCCCGAGAACACTCACGAGGCAGTGAGAAAACCGCGTGATCCTGGGAGGGGCTCGTACCAGGTACTGACAGCCGGGCCAGCTGTGCCTGGGAGTCGCGTAAGGAAGGGTCGTCACGCCCTGAGGTAGTTGATCACAAACTGCCCGCTATACATTTCCACGTGTTGAGCCACCTCGTAGAGGTGAGTATTGTGGCCGGGTCAGATAGTTGTGAGGTGAGGTGGGAGGTGGAGGGGGGCGTTGGGGATAGTTGGGGTGGGGTGGGGTGGGATCGTTGGGAGGTGATGGTTTGGCGGGGTGATGGTTGGGAGATGGTTGGGAGGGGGTGATAGTTGGATGGGGGGGGTGACAGTTGGGGGGGGGGGTGACAGTTGGATGGGGGGGGGGTGATAGTTGGGGGTGACAGTTGGGGGTGGGGGTGACAGTTGGGTGGGGGGGGGTGACAGTTGGGTGGGGGGTGACGGTTGAGGGTGACGGTTGGGGGTGACGGTTGGGGGTGACGGTTGAGGGTGACGGTTGGGGGTGACGGTTGAGGGTGACGGTTGAGGGTGACGGTTGAGGGTGACGGTTGAGGGTGACGGTTGGGGGTGACGGTTGAGGGTGACGGTTGTGGGTGAGGGTTGGGGTGACGGTTGAGGGTGACGGTTGAGGGTGACGGTTGGGGGTGACGGTTGAGGGTGACGGTTGAGGGTGACGGTTGGGGGTGACGGTTGAGGGTGACGGTTGAGGGTGACGGTTGGGGGTGACGGTTGAGGGTGACGGTTGGGGGTGACGGTTGAGGGTGACGGTTGAGGGTGACGGTTGGGGGTGACGGTTGGGGGTGACGGTTGAGGGTGACGGTTGGGGGTGACGGTTGAGGGTGACGGTTGAGGGTGACGGTTGGGGGTGACGATTGAGGGTGATGGTTGAGGGTGACGGTTGAGGGTGACAGTTGAGGGTGTTAGTCGAGTGTGACGGTTGAGGGTGACGGTTGAGGGTGACAGTTGAGGGTGACAGTTGAGGGTGACAGTTGAGGGTGTTAGTTGAGGGTGACGGTTGAGGGTGACGGTTGAGAGTGTTAGTTGAGGGTGACAGTTGAGGGTGTTAGTTGAGGGTGACGGTTGAGGGTGACGGTTGAGAGTGACAGTTGAGGGTGAGGGTGACGGTTGAGGGTGACAGTTGTGGGTGAGGGTGACGGTTGAGGGTGACGGTTGAGAGTGACAGTTGAGGGTGTTAGTTGAGGGTGACAGTTGAGGGTGTTAGTTGAGAGTGACAGTTGAGGGTGAGGGTGACGGTTGAGGGTGACAGTTGTGGGTGAGGGTGACGGTTGAGGGTGACGGTTGAGGGTGACAGTTGAGGGTGACGGTTGAGGGTGTTAGTTGACAGTTGAGGGTGAGGGTGACGGTTGAGGGTGACGGTTGAGGGTGACAGTTGAGGGTGACGGTTGAGGGTGACGGTTGAGGGTGACGGTTGAGGGTGACGGTTGAGGGTGTTAGTTGAGAGTGACGGTTGAGGGTGACGGTTGGGGGTGACGGTTGAGAGTGACAGTTGTGGGTGAGGGTGACGGTTGGGGGTGACGGTTGAGGGTGACGGTTGAGGGTGACGGTTGAGGGTGACGGTTGAGGGTGACGGTTGGGGGTGACGGTTGAGGGTGACGGTTGAGGGTGACAGTTGTGGGTGAGGGTGACGGTTGAGGGTGACGGTTGAGGGTGACGGTTGGGGGTGACGGTTGAGGGTGATGGTTGAGGGTGACGGTTGAGGGTGACAGTTGAGGGTGTTAGTTGAGGGTGACGGTTGAGGGTGACGATTGAGAGTGACAGTTGAGGGTGAGGGTGACGGTTGAGGGTGACAGTTGTGGGTGAGGGTGACGGTTGAGGGTGACGGTTGAGAGTGACAGTTGAGGGTGTTAGTTGAGGGTGACAGTTGAGGGTGTTAGTTGAGAGTGACAGTTGAGGGTGAGGGTGACGGTTGAGGGTGACAGTTGTGGGTGAGGGTGACGGTTGAGGGTGACGGTTGAGGGTGACAGTTGAGGGTGACGGTTGAGGGTGTTAGTTGACAGTTGAGGGTGAGGGTGACGGTTGAGGGTGACGTTGAGGGTGACGGTTGAGGGTGTTAGTTGAGGGTGACAGTTGAGGGTGTTAGTTGAGAGTGACAGTTGAGGGTGAGGGTGACGGTTGAGGGTGACAGTTGTGGGTGAGGGTGACGGTTGAGGGTGACGGTTGAGGGTGACAGTTGAGGGTGACGGTTGAGGGTGTTAGTTGACAGTTGAGGGTGAGGGTGACGGTTGAGGGTGACGGTTGAGGGTGACGGTTGAGGGTGACGGTTGAGGGTGTTAGTTGAGAGTGACGGTTGAGGGTGACGGTTGGGGGTGACGGTTGAGAGTGACAGTTGTGGGTGAGGGTGACAGTTGAGGGGTGACAGTTGAGGATGACAGTTGAGGGTGACAGTTGAGGGTGTCAGTTGGGGGTGACAGTTGAGGGTGACAGTTGAGGGTGTTAGTTGATGGTGACGGTTGAGGGTGACGGTTGGGGGTGTTAGTTGAGGGTGACGGTTGAGAGTGACGGTTGAGGGTGACGGTTGAGAGTGACGGTTGAGAGTGACGGTTGAGGGGGTGACGGTTGAGAGTGACAGTTGAGGGTGAGGGTGACGGTTGAGAGTGAGGGTGACGGTTGAGGGTGACGGTTGGGGGTGACGGTTGGGGGTGTCGGTTGGGGGTGACAGTTGAGGGTGACAGTTGAGGGTGACAGTTGAGGGTGTCGGTTGGGGGTGACAGTTGAGGGTGACAGTTGAGGGTGTCGGTTGGGGGTGACAGTTGAGGGTGACGGTTGAGGGTGTTAGTTGAGGGTGACAGTTGAGGGTGACGGTTGAGGGTGACGGTTGAGGGTGTTAGTTGAGAGTGACGGTTGAGGGTGACGGTTGAGGGGTGACAGTTGAGGGTGACAGTTGGGGGTGACAGTTGAGGGTGACAGTTGAGGGTGTCGGTTGGGGGTGACAGTTGAGGGTGACAGTTGAGGGTGTCGGTTGGGGGTGACAGTTGAGGGTGACGGTTGGGGGTGTTAGTTGAGGGTGACGGTTGAGAGTGACGGTTGAGGGTGACGGTTGAGGGTGTTAGTTGAGAGTGACGGTTGAGGGTGACGGTTGAGGGGTGACAGTTGAGGGTGACAGTTGGGGGTGACAGTTGAGGGTGACGGTTGAGAGTGACGGTTGACGGTTGGGGGTGACAGTTGAGGGTGACAGTTGGGGGTGACAGTTGAGGGTGACGGTTGAGAGTGACGGTTGACGGTTGGGGGTGACAGTTGAGGGTGACAGTTGGGGGTGTCAGTTGAGGGTGACGGTTGAGAGTGACGGTTGGGGGTCGTCGCCCACCTTGTCGGCGTAGGCGGCGGCCTCGCGCGCGCGCGCCCCCGTGGTCTGCACGCGCTCGTGCCGCACGAGGGTGACAGGTGACGGTTGAGAGTGACGGTTGAGAGTGACGGTTGGGGGTGACGGTTGACGGTTGAGGGGGTGACGGTTGGGGGTGGTCGCCCACCTTGTCGGCGTAGGCGGCGGCCTCGCGCGCGCGCGCCCCCGTGGTCTGCACGCGCTCGTGCCGCACGAGGCCCGTGACGAGCAGGCGCAGGAGGTCGAGGCGGGCGCCCGGCTCGCGACCCAACTGGCGCCGCGCGCGCCCGTGGCGCATCAGCAGCAGCTGCGTGAGCCTCATCGCGAGTAGTTGTTGTTGTTGTTGTTGATTTGGAAGAATTTTTTTACAAATTTGTTTCGATTTTTTTCCCCTCACGAAAGACGGCAAGAGCGAAGTGTGGCCTTCCCGCCTTCCACGCGTGCGCGCCAAATGACCCCCAACGCGTCCCGTAGCGACCCGCAGGGGGGGAGGGGGGGGACTCGTGAAGCCACGCGCAGCCATCTTGGGTAAGGTTATTTTTGTGTATTTCCCACTTGTATTGTAATCGAAACGTCGTGATTTTATTTTATTTTAGAGCTACGTGACTTTACCGAAAGAAGCAAGGAGTATGGGGTGTTTTTAAAAAGTTTGTTTTCTCAGTCGCACGACACGAGGCGATTGATTTTAACGACTGTCATTTGGCGTGCGGGTTTTTGTTTCTTCGATATATATTGATGAATAAAATCGTTCTTCCGTACGATTGTTGTTAGGCTTCTTACGGTTTTTTAAAAATCGATATAAATTTTGCACGAGACGCCGGATATTACGACCCGCGTCCCAGAGTGGCGGGTGTCGCTCCCTGAGTAAGATGGCGGCCGACGGCGTTGGCCGAGAGGGGGGGGAAGGGTGTGTGTCACGTGACACAAAGTGTACGGGTCGCCAAATGGGACTCAAAAAGTAACGTCGATTTTTTTTTTACTAATAATAAGTATAACCCGTAAAAACAAAGTTTTTCACTATAAATCCTTTATATGCGTGGCGGCTAGAGTCCTCTCGTCCTCTGGCTTGAGATGGCTGCCACCTATGGGTCAGATGATTGTCTGCCAGTATTAAGCAATTGGTAATTAAATATTTAATTTGTTTTCCCTAAACAGTGTAAAATTTTTGGAAAAAATTTACACGAACATTAATTGTCTCGCACAACGAGTCTGTGTGCAAAATGTCAGCTCGATTGGATCACGGGAAGTGGGTTAAAAAACGAGCGAAAGATTTGCACGGTCCTAAGCAAGCAAGCGAACTTAATATAAAGGATTTAAAAATATATTCGCCTGTGGAGGACGCGGGGATCGATCCCGCGACCTTTGGCATGGGAAGCGAGGGCGCTACCAACTGCGCTACTCCGCCGCGGCCTGTGGAGGGGTTACGCTCTGGGCTCTTACACTGTGACGTTCAGCCAAAGCCATGAATGCGTTCTATTTGAATATATGTAAAATAAATTTTTTTTTGCCTAAAAAGTGTTACATTTTGGGAATTTTTTTTCACGAACAATAATTGTCTGGCACAACGAGTCTGTGTGGAAAATGTCAGCTCGATTGGATCACGGGAAGTGGGTTAAAAAACGACCGAAAGATTTGCACGGTCGTAAGCAAGCAAGCAAGCACGCAAGCAAGCAAGCGAACTTAATATAAAGGATTTAAAAATAAACGCTTTCTCACAAATCAATGCACTTTGGGATTGCATTTTTTTACTTTTACTGTATTGGACTATACATTTTACGTGTGGTAAGGCGTCGGGTTCGAATCCCGCCCGTGCCTCGACCGTAGATATTTTAAAATAAAAAATCCATCCCACATCCTATATCTACCCCCCCCCCCCCCCCCCCCTTGCGTTTTAAACTAAAAACAATAATTGGAAGCGTTTTAAAATATACAGTTGATCATAATCGATTATCCAGGCTGCTTCTCAATATTATCCGGCGGTCCCGGGACCGATCTGGCGAAATTGCTCCAATTTATTTTTTATCCAGTGTTGATTTCAGGGTTAAAATGTTACATACGCTACATTATACACTGCATACAACTTAATCTGTGAAAATAATGCGCGTATTTAACGCATCACCCCACGCAGTGTCAGACTATTTATTTGTATTGCAGGAGGAATCCGATGAGCTCTAAAGATTTTTTAAATCCTTTATATTAAGTTCACTTGCTTGCTTGTGCGCTTACGACCGTGCAAATCTTTCGGTCATTTTTAACCCACTTCCCGTGATCCAATCGAGCTGACATTTTGCACACAGACTCGTTGTGCGTGACAATTTATGTTCGTGAAATTTTTTTTCCAAAATGTTACACTTTTTAGAAAAAAATAATTATATTTAATTACCAATTGCTTAATGGTGGCAGGCAATCATCTGACCCATAGGTGGCAGCCATCTCAAGCCAGAGGACGAGAGGTCTCTAGCCGCCACGCATATAAAGGATTTAGAGTGAAAAACTTTGTTTTTACGGGTTAATATTTAAATCCTTTATATTAAGTTCACTTGCTTGCTTGTGCGCTTACGACCGTGCAAATCTTTCGGTCGTTTTTTAACCCAATTCCCGTGATCCAATCGAGCTGACATTTTGCACACAGACTCGTTGTGCGTGACAATTAATTTTCGTGAAATTTTTTTTAACAAATTTTCCACTTTTTAGGAATTTTTTTTTCATATTTAATTTAAAATACCAATGTGATAAAAATGAAACTCTTACTCAAGAAAAACAGAAATGAATAATAAAATAAAACCGATGCCACGCATATAAAGGATTTATAGTGAAAAACTTTGTTTTTACGGGTTAATTTTTTTTCCACAGATGTCCCAGTATAAGTGCGGTGGTTAGAAAGTTGCAAGAGCGAACACACACACACCGACATGAGTTTAAAATAAATAAAATGGTAAGAAAGTCAATAGATATAAATATGTCAGGGGCCGTCCATAAATGACGTCACGCGATTTTGGACGATTTTTGACCCCCCCCGCCTTCGTCACACGACGTCACAAAAAGTCAGCCCCCCCCTTCAAATATGACGTCACAAAGCTCTGCCCCCCCCCCCCAAAAAAAGAATAAAACATGCTTCAAATCGCTTTAAACTATTGTCATTGTTGTGCGTATTTAATATGGCGCTGCACTCTGATGTTGTAGGAGAAAACATTTATTAAAAAGTATATTTAATTAAGTAGAACGTGTTGTCTGTATTTATTTAAAGTTGCGCATTTTGATGTGACGTCATATTTCTCAACCCATACCCCCCTCGTCACACATCGTCACAAATGTCTGACCCCCCCCCCAGGTGCGTGACGTCATTTATGGACGGCCCCTAATAATTACACTAATTATATAAGTCCGACTAATTCAGATTGGGGCAAGGTAGCAAAATCAATAACCCAACAGTCTTCTACTCACAGCCTTACACACTACCATCACCATTGCCACACGTTATACTGGTAGGAACCACCTGGTTCCACCAGCCCATATGGGATGATTGTGTCCGTCCGTCGTGCATCCAAAAATGGGAGGGGTGGGGCTGGGTGGGGAGGGGCTGGGTGGGGAGGGGCTGGGTGGGGAGGGGAGGGTGGGGAGGGGCTGGGTAGGGAGGAAGGGTGGGTAGGGGCTGGGTGGGGAGGGTGGGGAGGGGCTGGGTGGGAGGGGTGGGGCTGGGTGGGGAGGGGCTGGGTGGGGAGGGTGGGGAGGGGCTGGGTGGGGAGGGTGGGGAGAGGCTGGGTGGGGAGGGTGGGGCTGGGTGGGGGGGTGGGAGGGGTGGGGCTGGGTGGGGAGGGGCTGGTCACCCCGTGGTGCCCTTATAAAACTCAACGTTTAATCTACTCACGCCGGCTTGTGCCCGCCCTCACAGTCGGGCATATTTGCGGAATACACCACGCCGCCGTTGACCCTGGCCATTGACCGAGCAACCCAACGTTCCTTCCAGCTCCCTCTGCAGGTATGTGTTTAGCGAAAGTTGAGTTTAAATTTTTCCCAATAACGTCCACTAGAGGACGCTATAGCTACGTCCAGGACAACCTTCTTTGACACGCTCTCATTAAGGGCCATTGCCTGAAACGTCGCCAATAATAACAACCATAGATATAATAGGCTTATGCGGCCCTAATGACAGGGCATATAGCGGTTATATTTATTTTAGCATATCTCAAAGGTGTTATTGCATTTACTTAACAAATGCTAAAATGTGACTTCAATTAACACGCAGGGGTGAGGCATGGATTCTCTTTTCGAATGAATGTCGGACTTTTTTAAATCCTTTATATTAAGTTCGCTTGCTTGCTTGCGTGCTTACGACCGTGCAAATCTTTCGGTCGTTTTTTAACCCACTTCCCGTGATCCAATCGAGCTGACATTTTGCACACAGACTCGTTGTGCGTGACAATTAATTTTCGTGAAATTTTTTTTACAAAATTTTACACTGTTTAGGGGGAATTTTTTTAATATTTAATTACCAATTGCTTAATGGTTGCAGGCAATCATCTGACCCATAGGTGGCAGCCATCTCAAGCCAGAGGACGAGAGGACTCTAGCCGCCACGCATATAAAGGATTTATAGTGAAAAACTTAGTTTTTACGGGTTAATTTTTCCCTTCAAGGATGACAGCCGTCTAACCTTTGAAAAATCCGTCAATTATGCTCCCCCCTCAATTCAGTGAATGTTTTCCACCACTTTTAAATGTCATCCGAGAAGAAGATAAAAAATATATATATTAATGATCATATATATAATAAAAGATTAACTTAAATATTAAACGTGGTTCTTTCGGTAAAGTGACGTAGAAGGAAAATAATAAAATAATTAAAATAAAACATAATAAAATAAGATAATTCTCACGACGTTTCGGCCACAACGCAAGCAGCCGTCCTCAGGTGAGAATTATGTAAAAAAAAATTATTTTATTATTTCCCTTCTACGTGACTTTACCGAAAGAACCAAGAAGATGAATCCCTGCAGTCACGAAAGCTTTACATCGAAAATTAAACGTGTTTTTTTTCTCTCATGCCAGTATGAAAATTAATATAATAACCCAATCTGGCCTGACCTTTGGGCTACCCTGTATTTCTTTCTCTCCTTATAATGCCAACCTGTTACTGATGACTACGCTGAGGGGTATCGTACTGTACACGTGCTTATGCACCACTGCCAACGCATACATAGCCTTATCAAGCAATTAAAACTATAACGTTTTTAAAAAAAGAATTATTTTGCCAGCTAAGGCCCCACTGATGTGTGTAAGCTCTTTTTCAGAAGCGACCTGGTCATTACAAGTGATAGCTTATTCTTAGGTTTTTCGGTAAAGTCACGTAGGTAAAACATTTATATTAATAAAAGTAAAATAAATTATTTTATTTTACTTTCATTAATTTTAATTTACATTTTTTACCTACGTGCAAATGGACCAAACACTAAATTTCGATTTAAAGCTTTCGTGACTGCAGGGATTCATCTTCTTGGTTCTTTCGGTAAAGTCACGTAGAAGCAAAATATATATTTTTTACTTTTATTAATTGAAATTTAAATTTTCTACCTACGTGACTTTACCGAAAAAACCTAAGAATATGAATCCTTGCAGCCACGAAAGCTTCAAATCTAGAATTAAGTGATAGCTTAACGAAGTGGCTTACCATCATCATCATCATGTGGACATTTATAGCAGCCGAATGAATGCTCTAAACGCGTGACGTTGATTCTAAATGTGGGAGGGAAAACCCGGAGGACCCAGAGAAAAATCGACGCGACCACGGAGAGAGAGCGAGACACGCAAACTCCGAATGTTGTGAAAATAGAACGGGCCAAACCACAAGTGGTCATTAACCAAGCAAATGGAACAAACACTACATTTCGATTTAAAGCTTTCGTGACTGCAGGGATTCATCTCCTTGGTTCTTTCGGTAAAGTCACGTAGAAGGGAATTAATAAAATAATAAAAATAAAACATAATAAAATAATTCTCAAACGCTGTCTTTCCGACAGACCTGTTCTTCACCCGAGGACGGCTGCTTGCGTTGTGGCCGAAACGTCGTGAGAATTGTATTTGATTATGTTTTATTTTTATTATTTTATTATTTTCCTTCTACGTGACTTGACCGAAATAACCAAGAAGAGGAACAAACACTGCCAAAGTGTGCGAAGAAGCGTGGAGAGATTCGTGTTTGGAATTAATTACATTTGGGTGACAGAGAGAGAGAGAGAGTCACCCCCTAACGAGCGTGCGTGCACATTGCCCGCGGCAACATTCAATGCCGTTAAGAACATTAAGTGGCTTTTTCGATTTAAAGCTTTCGTGACTGCAGGGATTCATCTTCTTGGTTCTTTCGGTAAAGTCACGTGGAAGGGAAATAATAAAATAATAAAAATAAAACATAATAAAATAATTATTACGTTTTATTTTTTAGTCACGTAGAAGGGAAATAATAAAATAATAAAAATAATAAAATAATTATTACGTTTGATTTTTTAGTCACGTAGAAGGGAAATAATAAATTTATAAAAATAACACATACTAGCTATTTTATTATAATAATCATTTTATTATGTTTTATTTTTATTATTTTATTATTTCCCTTCTACTTGACTTTACCGAAAGAACCAAGCAGATTAAGTGGCTTATGTAAGAATCGGTCATCGTGGCTGCAAGGTTCGATGTCCGATCGATGGTCAAGACGAAAACCTAAATGGCAGCCATGGGGCCGCCCATAAATGACGTCACGCGATTTTTGACGATTTTTGACCCCCCCCCCTCCCCCCTTCGTCACTCGGCGTCACAAAAAGTCAGACCCCCCCCGCAACCTCAACCCTCAAATATGACGTCACAAAGCTCTGCCCCCCCCCAAAACCATATTTCCATTTTGAAAATAAAACTTGCTTCAAATCGCTTTAAACTATTGTCATTGTAGTGCGTGTTTAGTGTGGCGCTGCACTCTGATGTTGTAGAAGAAAACATTTATCGAAAAGTCTATTTAATTAGAGTGTTGTTATAACAATTAGTGTTATTACAACAATTATACATTTATTTAAAGTTGCGCATTTTGATGTGACGTCACATTTCTCAAACACCTCTCCAACCCCACTCGTCACACATCGTCACAAATGTCTGACCCCCTCCCCTCCCCTAGGTGCGTGACGTCATTTAGGGACGGCCCGCAAGGCACGGAACGCCGCGGCTATCGAAGGAGGCACGCGCACCGGTGTCATCATCCAGCAGTGGATTGACCACGATTATTGATGATGATGATGATGATAAAGATGATAGTTCAAATTGCTAGACGCATATATTTTACAAATGTTTGCTTGCTAAGCGAACAACAGTACAGAGAAGACGAGACAACATTTGATACTACGTTTTTTTTTTAGCCCGTGGGGAGATTTTTTATTTTGAATATATTGGCTGCACATTCTATGCTCCCTCCACGTGAAAGCTTAAGGGGCGGCCCGGCAATGTCTTTGCTCTCGCCACTGCTGGCGGAAAAGCCTCCACTAGAGGGAGCTCCGGAGGCGGTGGGTTGGTGGTGAGGGTGGGTTGGTGGTGAGGGTGGGAGGTGGTGAGTTGGTGGTGAGGGTGGGTGGTGGTGAGTTGGTGGTGAGGGTGGGAGGTGGTGGGTTGGTGGTGAGAGTGGGTGGTGGTGGGTTGGTGGTGAGGGTGGGAGGTGGTGGGTTGGTGGTGAGGATGGGAGGTGGTGGGTTGGTGGTGAGGGTGGGAGGTGGTGAGTTGGTGGTGAGGGTGGGTGGCGGTGGGTTGGTGGTGAGGGTGGGTGGTGGTGAGTTGGTGGTGAGGGTGGGAGGTGGTGGGTTGGTGGTGAGGGTGGGAGGTGGTGAGTTGGTGGTGAGGGTGGGAGGTGGTGGGTTGGTGGTGAGGGTGGGAGGTGGTGGGTTGGTGGTGAGGGTGGGTGGTGGTGAGTTGGTGGTGAGGGTGGGAGGTGGTGGGTTGGTGGTGAGGGTGGGAGGTGGTGAGTTGGTGGTGAGGGTGGGAGGTGGTGGGTGGTGGTGAGGGTGGGAGGTGGTGGGTTGGTGGTGAGGGTGGGAGGCGGTGGGTTGGTGGTGAGGGTGGGAGGTGGTGGGTTGGTGGTGAGGGTGGGTGGTGGTGGGTTGGTGGTGAGGGTGGGTGGTGGTGGGTTGGTGGTGAGGGTGGGAGGTGGTGGGTTGGTGGTGAGGGTTGGAGGCGGTGGGTGGGTGGTGAGGGTGGGAGGCTGTGTGTTGGTGGTGAGGGTGGGAGGTGGTGGGTGGGTGGTGAGTGTGAGAGGTGGTGAGTTTGGTGGTGAGTGTGAGAGGTGGTGAGTTTGGTGGTGAGTGTGAGAGGTGGTGAGTTGGTGGTGAGGGTGGGCACGGGCTGTGTGTTGGTGGTGAGGGTGAGGGGGGTTAATAAAAGTTGCAGCCTTCGCTTCAGCTGCCGCTCCGGGAGATAGAACTGCTGCTGCTGCTGCTGCGTGAATTTTAACCCTTCGAGGAAAACTCGTGAGATGCAATCGACGACGATCATTTTTCTCCGCACTTTTCAATTTCCCCACCTACCCCCCCCCCTGCCCCCCCTGCCCCCCCTGCCCCCCCTGCCCCCCACCAATTCCACGGACAAATCGCCGAGAAACGTGACCGCCGCGTGAGCTTCGGGCAGGTGATGCGGTCAAGGTCACCGGAGGTCAAACGGGATCACGACGCATCCGCTCGCGGCGCCGCAGGGAGCGCATAGTGGCCCCGTGCCAGACACAGACGGCGACTCTGGGTAGCAGGGGAGGGGTGTGGAGGGGGGGAGGGGGTGTGGAGGGGGGGAGGGGTGTAGGGGGAGGGGTGGGGTGGAGGGGGGAGGGGGTGGAGAGGGGGGGAGGGGAGAGAGGGGAGGGGTGGAGAGGGGAGGGGTGGAGAGGGGGGAGGGGAGAGGGGAGGGGTTGAGGGGAGGGGGGAGAGGGGAGGGGGGAGAGGGAGGGTGGAGAGGGGAGGGGGGGAGGGGGGAGGGGTGGAGAGGGGGGAGGGGAGAGAGGGGAGGGGTGGAGAGGGGAGGGGGGAGGGGAGGGGGGAGAGGGAGGGGGGAGGGGGGAGGGTGGGGAGGGAGAGGGGAGGGGTGGAGAGGGGAGGGGGGAGGGGGGAGGGGTGGAGAGGGGGGAGGGGGAGAGAGGGGAGGGGTGGAGAGGGGAGGGGGGGAGGGGAGGGGGAGAGGGAGGGGGGAGGGGGGAGGGTGGGGAGGGAGAGGGGAGGGGTGGAGAGGGGAGGGGGGAGGGGGGAGGGGTGGAGAGGGGGGAGGGGAGAGAGGGGAGGGGTGGAGAGGGGAGGGGGGAGGGGAGGGGGGAGAGGGAGGGGGGAGGGTGGGGAGGGAGAGGGGAGGGGTGGAGAGGGGAGGGGTGGAGGGGGGGAGGGGGGGAGGGAGAGGGAGGGGTGGAGAGGGGAGGGTGGAGGGGGGAGGGGGGGAGGGAGAGGGGAGGGGGGAGAGGGGTGGGGTGGAGAGGGGAGGGGTGGAGGGGGGAGGGGGGGAGGGAGAGGGGAGGGGTGGAGAGGGGAGGGGTGGAGGGGGGAGGGGGGGAGGGAGAGGGGAGGGGGGAGAGGGGTGGGGTGGAGAGGGGAGGGGTGGAGGGGGGAGGGGGGGAGGGAGGGGGGAGGGGGGAGGGGGGAGGGTGGGGAGGGAGAGGGGAGGGGTGGAGAGGGGAGGGGGGGGAGGGGGGAGGGGGGAGGGGAGGGGGGAGAGGGAGGGGGGAGGGTGGGGAGGGAGAGGGGAGGGGTGGAGAGGGGAGGGGTGGAGGGGGGAGGGGGGGAGGGAGAGGGGAGGGGGGAGAGGGGAGGGGTGGAGGTGGAGGGGGACGTGGATAGAGTTGGAGGGAGAATGAGTGCATGCACTCGCGGGGAGGGGAGAGAGAATGAAAGGGAGAATTAATGAATGAGGGAGAATTGGTTCACGAGGGAGGGAGGCAAAGGGGAGAAGGGAGGGGGAATGAATAAGGGGGGGAGAGACTGAACGAATGAGGGAGGCAGGAGATAGGATGGGAGGAAGCATGGAGGAGGAAGGGAGAGAGAGAATGAAATGTTGAAGGAGGGGATGGAGAGTGTATATAGTTGTAGAGAAAATGAATGATTGAGGGACTGAGAATGAATGGAAGGAAGAAGAGGAAACTTGGGGGGGGGGGGTGAGGTGTGGAGGCGAGGGAGCGATGCAGAGAGGTGAAGGAAGAAGAGAATGAAGGAGGATGAGGAGGAGGAGGTGTAGGGAGTGGTGGGTGCGGGAGGGAGGGAGGGAGAGGGCTGATTGGTGTGAATGAGAACATGAGTGTCACGGAGGGAGAGAGTGAAACGAATGAATGAAAGAGCGAAGAAGTCGCGGGGAGATTGAAGGTGTTGTGGGGGGGGGGGTGTGGGGGGGGGGGTGGGGTTTGTGGGGGGGGGTTGTGGGGGGGAATGGGGGGGCGGGGGGGGTATCGTTACAAGAGATGAAGGCGTTGAGGGAGGGGGTATTGAGGGAGGGGTAGGGTTGAAGGGAGGGGGCGGAGGAGGGGGGATGGCTGTGTGGGGGGGGGGGGGTGTAGACGAGGGGAGGGGGGGGGCTGTGTGTGAGGGGGGGGGGGGTGTAGACGGTGGGGGGATGTGTGGGGGGGGTGTAGGCGGTTGGGAGGGTAGACGAGGGGAGGGGGGTGGCTGTGGGGGGGGGGGGGTAGACGAGGGGGGAGGGGGCTGGCTGTGTGGGGGGGGGGGTTGTAGACGAGAGGGGGGGGGGGTGACTGTGTGGGGGGGGGGTAGACGAGAGGGGAGGGGGTGACTGTGTGGGGGGGGGGTAGACGAGAGAGGGGGGGGTAGACGAAGGGGGGGGTGTAGACGAGAGAGGGGAGGGGGGTGTAGACGAGAGGGGGGGGATGGCTGTGTGGGGGGGGGGGTGTAGACGAGAGGGGAGGGGGTGACTGTGTGGGGGGGGGGGGTAGACGAGAGAGGGGGGGGGTAGACGAAGGGGGGGGGCGTGTAGACGAGAGAGGGGAGGGGGGGATTTAAGCGCAGTCTGTGACGTCTCCTCAATGCGATTCCTGGAAACTCGGTGCCAGCCGCCTGCTTCGCGTGCGGCGGCAGCGGCAGCAGCAGCAGCAGAGCAGAAGAGCGAGACGCGAGCGAGAGAGAGAGTAGAGAGAGAAGAGAGAGAGGAAGAGAGGCGAGGAGACGCGGACACACGGAGCCGACTACGGTGACGACGAGAGCCGAAGAGGAGGAGGAGGAAGAGGGGGGAGGATGGTGGACAGAAGGGTGGACACGCTGAGAGACAGAACGAATCGTTGACACACGGGGAGACAGAGAGACGCAGAAGGGTGGTGGACACGCGCTCACGCAGAGAGACAGACAGGCAGACAGACAGGCTGACAGACAGGTAGGCAGGCAGGCAGACAGACAGACAGGCAGACAGACAGGCTGACAGACAGACAGACAGGCAGACAGACAGGCAGACAGACAGGCTGACAGACAGGTAGGCAGGCAGGCAGACAGACAGACAGACAGGCAGGCAGGCTGACATACAGACAGACAGGCAGGCAGACAGACAGGCAGACAGACAGGCTGACAGACAGGCAGGCAGACAGACAGACAGGCAGACAGGCTGACATACAGACAGGCAGACAGACAGACAGGCTGACATACAGACAGGCAGACAGACAGGCAGACAGACAGGCTGACATACACACAGACAGACGCAGTGAGACACGAGCGAGTGAAACTCAAGCGAAGCACGTGTGGCTCTCCCCTTGCGATCTCTTTCTAGGCATCACCAACACACACACGTGACACAGAGAGAGAGATACACACACACGAGAGAGAGAGACACGGTGACACACACACACGTGACAGAGAGAGAGAGAGATACACGGTGACACACACACACACGTGAGAGAGACACACGGTGACACACACGTGCTCTGTGTGTGTGTGTCACCGTGTATCTCTCTCTCTGTCTGTCTCTCTGTCTCTCCCCATCTCTTCGTGTCTGTCTCTCAATGTCCGTGTGTCTCTGTCTGTCTGTGTCTCTCCGTGTCTCCCAGTCTGTGTCTCTGTCTGTGTGTCTCCGTGTCTCCCAGTCTGTCTCTCTGTGGCTCTGTCTGTCTGTGTGTCTCTTAGTGTGTCTCTCTGTCTGTGTGTCTCTGTCTGTCTCCGTGTCTCCCAGTCTGTCTCTCTGTGGCTCTGTCTGTCTGTGTGTCTCTTAGTGTGTCTCTCTGTCTGTGTGTCTCTGTCTGTCTCCGTGTCTCCCAGTCTGTCTCTCTGTGGCTCTGTCTGTCTGTGTGTCTCCGTGTCTCTCAGTCTGTATCTCTGTGTCTCTATCCGTCTGTGTGTCTCCGTGTCTCCCAGTCTGTCTCTCTGTGTCTCTGTCTGTGTGTCTGTCGTGTCTCTTAGTGTGTCTCTCTGTGACTTTGTCTGTCTGTCTCCGTGTCTCCCAGTTTGTCTCTCTGTGTCTCTGTCTGCGTGTCTCCGCGTCTCTCAATCTGTCCCTACGTGTCCCTCCGTCCCTCCGTATGCCTCTCCATCGATGTCTCTGTGTGTCTCT